TAAGGCCAACACTATGAGCGAAATACGAAAAATCGCTAAAAAAAACCTTATCTTGAAAACTTATTTAATTGAAAGTTTACAACAGCCAATTCGATTAATTCATAATATTTTTAAACGTCAAAGCTTGAAAAAAGTGCTATTTGAAATCTATGATATAGCAACCGATGAAAAAATAGAAAGTTTTTGAGAACCCATTAATATTATAGATAATAGTATAACATAAAAAGATCATACTATGGAATATATCAAAAAAAAGATAATAAACGTAATATAATAGCATTAATCAGAATAAGCAAAATAACATTATTTACTTTTCATTAAGTTAAAATTAAAAGAATTTATAGATCACTGTTGTACTATACGATATTATTTCTTTACAATAAAAAAAATGTGATAAAGTGGACTACTATATTTGCCAGCCTTGTCATTGTATGCCCGAAGAGTTTGAGCAACTTTATCAACTTTTCGATCTAATTTCTGGTGAAGATTTGTATTATAAACCATTTGATGAATTATATAAAATACTAATAACAGAGAAATATAGTCCTTTATTTCAAGCTGATAATATTAAAAACTAGTAAAAAAATAATAAAAAAATTAAAACATATTATGCTATTTTGTTTATCTGCTGCTCGTGCAAAAAATATTGGCATTATGGTATTTTGTGTTAAATACAAAAAGTCATATTTATTATTTAGTTTAAAAAAGCTAACCAAAAAGGATCGAGAAAAACTTAAAAGATTCCTAAACATGATTCTGTATACATATGGAATGTCTTTTTACAATACTTGTGATTTGTTGCTAGTTATCGCAACAGAACAAAATAATATACAGATCATTAATTCATATGCTAATAACAACAATTCGAAAAACATCAATTCTAATGATATAGACAATCATAATATAGAGCCTAATCATAATGACCAAAATAATGATAATTATGATAATAAGCAGGAGAAGTTTAGTGAATCTGCAAAATCAGATTATAGTGATAGGAATGAAGAGGTTAATATAGAAGATCTAATTAGAATGCTTTTCGAAAGAGTTTTCGTAAATAATTCGTGGATATGTGTATTACTAATTGAAAATCTATATTATTTAGCAGTTATATATCCTGATATATGCTATAATTGTAGTGGTGCTGAAAATTTGAAGACAACAAAAGATGAACAATCTATAAAACTTTCATTTTTTTTTAGTCAAAATTTACTCACCGATTTTAAAGCAGATTGTTAATATATACGTATTAACATTTGAAAAAATAAAAAAAAA